GCGTGATTCATCTGGTCTCTGTTTGGCGGTGAACCTGCAAGAAACAAACAAAGGGTCAAAAGACGAACAGAGAATGCAAAAAGGACACTCACCTCGAAGGACAGGACCGCCCGGTGCCCCGAGACGAGCGTCGAAGGGTAGAAAGAGTCCAGGGACACGGGCGGTACCTATGCCTGCCCCGGAGAGTGCCTCGAAGGTCAGATATTCGGCTATTGGACGGACGCCGCCCTCCAACACCTTCTCCACATCCCAAAGTAGATCGTCGGTTGGCTCCGGTGACTCGATCTTTGGGGGATAGCCATTCCACCGGATGGGGAGAGGAGGCCCGTCGTATCTAAGGAAGAAGAAGCGGTTCTTCCAGTCGTGGATGGACGAAGGATAGCTCTTGAACAACCGCCTCCCGGGACGTGCGGCCACGCTCAAATACCCATCGGCGTTCTGGGGAGTGACGCGGTAGAAATAATGGAACAGATCCAAGGTGGCATCGACCCCGGCAAGCTTGCAGCGCACCAAGAAGGCCGAGATGAACCTGTAAGAATTTGGCATGAACTGCGCCGGGGCCACCTGGAAGCAGTGGAAGAATTCCACATAGAACGGATGGAGCGGGAACCGCAGCCCGGCTTCGACGGAATCCAAGTGGAGCACAATCATCCCCGGACGTCTCCTCATCGCATGTTCAGCGCCTCTCACGCTCCAGACGAACGGCGGGGGGAAGAAAGTACGAATTTTGTTGAGGGCCACGCGGGAGAGGACCTGGTCGTGGTCAAGGGCGCTTCTGATCGGGCAGATGTGGCGCTCCGTATCCATAGGGATGCCCAGATCATACACCTCCATATCGGAACCGGATTCGGCCTCCTCTCCAGAATCGTAGTCAGCGGGACGCTCGTTCAGGGGGACTGCGTTAATAACATCTACTGCCCCGGCAGCGTCCCCATCCCCGTCGTTGCTCCCACTACCTTGAGAAGCACCATCCGGCTCGCCGTCAGCCCGGATGGTCCCCACTGTCGTGGCCGAACCAGAGGTCCCGGAAATACTGGCCTTCCCGGGGGAGCGCACATTCACATTGTCCGAAGAGGAGCCCGAGGGGGAACCCGACGAACCGGAATCAGAGCTTGACGAAATCTCCATCGAAGTCATTTCGGCTAAGAATCAGAACAAGAAAAGAAGCAGAGGGGGGAAAATTACCTTACAAGGGGCTTTAGCCGAACTCGGAAGCGGGGGAGAAAAACTCGAAGAGCTGCAAAAATGCAAAAGCAAGAAAGCAGGAAATGGGAACCCTAATCCAGAGGGAAAACCCGGCATTTATAGGAGAAACACCGATGGGGGAACCAACGAGGGGTTGACGCGTGGCGAGGAGCGTACACCGGCTCATGTGCGTGGGCGAAAGCGTAATGATGACACTTCCTCGGGAAAATGCACCGCCGCAACATCAGTCGTCACCTCGTTTCCTGAACCGTCGACAGCTGTCAAGCACCATGACCACGAGCGTACGCTTCCAACGGGTGCAAAAAACACAAGTATCAAGACACGACCGTCTACCTCGAAGGGATTCCTACTTCCTTATGTCCTGCGCGAGCCCAGAACATCAGAAGTGGGGGACTTGTGTTGGGTTAAGGGCCCAAGCCGAGGTCCGGCCCACTAACCCATTTGGCCAGACGAACGTCTAGTTAGAACACTAGGCCAGCTCATAGGCCCATATCCCTTGGGGATGGACGAGCGTCTGGCGTAGGGGGCTCAGGCCCAGCAGGTTCCTCCAACGAACGTCTGTGCAAGGACAAGGAGCAGGACCACGGGCCACCAGGGATGGCGACGAACGTCTCCGGGGCAAGCCTGTAGTCATCGGAGGGGACCCAGTCCACATGGTGAATATCTACAAGGCCAGGAGACGAACAGCCGGTATCTCCGGAGGGTCACTTGGAGCAATCCAACTCACTTCCCGGGCGGACGAACGTCCCCACTAATCAGGCGGGAAACCTAGATTCTGGCGGGAAGGGCATTAAATGCTGAAGATTTGGTGGTTGGGACACAAGCGGTCCACAGGCTTCCACGTCAGCACAGCTACCTGCCCATTGGCGGGTATAAATAGAAGCATTTATTTCATTGTAAAGGGTTGGCAACTTTCTATTCTTAGCATACTAGCTTCAGCATTCTTACTTGTAGCACTTCTAGCTGCCTTGTAAGACGAACGGCCGACGTGCCCTTGTAGCAAGTAGATTGTACTTAGGGGAGTTATTACGAAGTTAATAATACCTATTTACATTGCCTGCTATTACTCTTGATTCCTGATCCATCGGATAGTTGTTGGGCTAGATATTCATACACGCACTCCACTCGAAATCTTTGGGCTTACGTGTTGGGTCCAAGGATTGAAGGAATAAACCACAACAAGTGATATATCTTATCACTATCACAAAGAGAATTTGCATGACACATCATTAGCTCATCAGTTATTAGCTTTAAGAATTTGTGATTGGTTCTGTTCAAACACAAATAAGCACGAGGTCTTCGTATCATATAAGGGCTATATATATTCACAATTACAATCATTTATTCAAATTAGGAAATTAGCATAGGTATTATTCAAATTAGGAATAGCTCTAAAGTAGTATGGTGTTGACATGTGGCAATACTTTCCTTAAGTGTAGCCTTAAAATATATTATTTATCAAGGATTATTAATGACAAAATAATAAAATAGAAACATATGAATAGGGTAAATCAGAAAATTTAATAATTTGATTTGTTGCATTGAAATATGGTGAATGTGGAAAGAAATAAAGGGGTTGTCAATAGAAATACCCTATGATCAATTGTGGATCTTACATGGGCTCATGGGGAGCTAAACCCTGTTGTACTAGTTGTCAATCAATTTATAGTTTTTCTTTGGGGTTCTCATCTTTGATCTATTGTTTGAGTTTGAATAAGATACTACAATTTCATTTTTTTGTTTTGATATTTTAATATATTTAGCTCTTAAGAAAGGAACATAAATACGTGTATGTAAATGATAAATTGAAGACCTTTTTTTTTTTACAGTAAAAGGCTTATATAGTTATATTAAAATTAGTCATGGACCCGGGCCGGTTCTGGTTCCGGGCCGGGCCCGGCCGGGCTTTTTTTTTTGGGAAGGAAGGCCCGGGACCGGCCCGGGTAGCCACCGGGTCCGGTCCGGGTCCGGGCCGGGCCGGGCCTCCGGTTCGGTCATATTTTTTTTTTTGCTTTCCTAACCCCCCCACTCACCCCCCCACCCCCCCAAACCCCCAAACCCCTCCTAACCATCAAACCCAACCCGGCTAACCCCAAAAAATGAAAAAAAAAAATAAAAAAAAAATCAATTCGGCCCGGGCCCGGGCCCGACCCGGCCGGGCCGGTTCGCCAAATACAAGGCCCGGACCCCCCCCACCGGGCCTAGGCCCGACCCGGACCCGGACCCGAGAACCGGGCCGGTTCCGGGCCCGCACAGTGGCGGGCCGGGCCGGTCCCGGGCCGGGCGGCCCGAACCGGGTCCATGCCTAATTAAAATGTTGAGAACGAGTGATTATGAATGATTTTAATTGGATTGAAAATTTCTGATCTAGTTTGGTCTGATCTAAACTGGTCTGGTCTGGTAAATGTCTGGTCTCTGTTTATTTTAGAATTGTCAAATTCTAGTCTGATGTAGTATGATCTAGTATGGACTTGAAATAAGACCAAGTAAAAACATTGTACATATCAAGAAAGATTCCCTCAACTAATCTCAAGTCCTAAATTAGACATAGAGACAAACTCATAAAAGAGCAATCTAACTGACTAACTCACAAACCTCGAAATGGGCAACAATTAGGTTGTACGGATCGAATTAACATCTCTATCTCCCAAGTTTCAACTGCACTCAATCTTGTATCCTCACGACTATCGCCTTTCAAAACAATTCAAAGTCAAGCAGACTCCAAAAACAAAACAGAAATAAAGCAAGCAAAGACTCTAAATCAACCCATCAATATCACATCCTTTTCTTCATCTACGCCAAGCTCGCACAATCCGCACCATTAAAGCAGTAAGCTAACAATGCAACACCAAGCCATCTACCCCCAACATTCTTATTCCTTTAATCTAAGCAACCAAATCAATCCCGGCTTTAAAAAAAATACAGTGTCTTGTCTTATTTTATTACTCCACAAGTCCATAGTAATATCCCAGTTAGATGGGAATTACACTTTTAAGGAATTCCCCATCACATGAGGCATAGATTGAGAGTTGGCGAATTTAGAAAGCTCTCCAAACATCTGCATCTCTTTAAAGAAGTTTTAATCTGGGAATAGTTTGTGTTAATCACCGTGAAATAGTGATAGGTTAATGCAAGGGCATCCTAGTCCCTAGAGATGTTAAAAGTTGTGTTTCGTTGGGGGCTGCAGGAAGTAAATTTGTGATTGTATATAGAATTACCCTTGATCATATCAGTCAACTTCTGGGTTGAGTAGACCTGATCCAGTTTCAGTTCAGTTCTTAATTGATTTTGTAGTCTATTTGGGAAAAAGAGCACATGAATCTACATATCTGGTCCTACCGTGAAGGACCAAAAAAATACTCCCTCCGTCCCATATTTATTTTCGGTTTTGACCGGGCACGTATATTAAGAAAGTGGGAAATGTGTGGTGGAGAGTTGTGCAGAGGAGAGAGAAATGTGTAAGAATGGTTGTGAACCACAAATTCTTTGCCAAAAAGGGAAAGAGGAGATAAATTTGGGACGGAACGAAAAGGAAAGAATGAAAATAATTTCGGGACAGAGAGAGGGAGTACATAGTTTCAGAATCTAGTTCCAGACCCGTTATTTGGGTTGGTGAAAAAATTCCAATTATAGAGGCTTCATCATTACCACAAATAAAAGCTTTCATACAATTGTTACTATCAACGTAAGAATACTGTTCTGGCTTTTATTTGTGGCCAGGATATTTTCTCTTTTCAAACTTGAATGACATTCTTTAATTAATGACTTTTATAGCTACAAGTCAATTATTGATAGTTTTTTTGCTAGCAACACATGTTTATCAAATCTTGTATTTACCCATTTAGAGGCATCACAATTCACAAAGTCTAACAAATGAATATCTTTAGTTCAGTGCAAAAAAGATACAAGAACACAAAACCGATGAGCAGTGTATTAAGAAATATATACACTTGTTTGAGAAACAGTTTTCCTAGATAATGCTAAAACATAACACACCACTTTCTCCAAGAAAGATCGCCATGTTTTTAGTCATATCCAGGTATGTTGCTCTTTAGAAAAACCTCTGACGCCTTTGCCAAATACGCAAATATAGTGCTTTTCTCATTTGTAGATGAGGGAGTGCAATTACAAAATCAAGCATTCAGCACAACGGAAAAAGGACAATCTGAGAAGTTTTTCCCACCACCATCAATTAATCTTCATGTTCATGATTCTGCATTAGTGATTTCTACGTCGCTCTTTGTCCCTTGATGAATAAGAGGAACTATGGTAGTCCCGATCTGCACAATAAAAAACTTCACTTTGTTAAAACACTTTTGATGGTACATCATTCTAGAAAACTAATATGCCAAGTTCACCATACCTCCAGAAGAGTGGCGTTTTGACTTCTCCGGGAGGCCTGCAAAATTTACATCATTTTACACATCATATGATGGGTATATCAGTGTGAAAATTCACTAGTTAGTTATATTGTTAGAATGTTGCTCCCTCTGTTCCAAAATAAAATCGTGTATTTCAACACTTTTTTATCCCCAGAAAAACAACTCTTGATCAAGCAAATCTTATTATTTATTTAATCTTAAAAAATGATTGACTCAAAGTCGTCTCAAACTATATAACTAATAGACCAACAAAAAAAAGATATCATATGATTCATGATAGTTGCCTTCCAAAAACAAAACAAAAAAGGGTCAGCCAGAATGCTTTTATTGCAAAGGAGGTAGTCGTATTACCTTTGTCTCTTGAGTGATAGCTCCTCCCCTTGGCTCGATCCCTTTCCCTTTCAGACATATCTTCACGCTCCCTTTCCCTTCCCCTGTCACGGTCCCATGACTTTGACCTTTCCTTCTTCCTCTCCCTTTCTTTATCCCTATCATGGTTCTTGTCCTTTTCTCCGGCTTCTGTTTTACGTGTTGTTATTGATTTGGAAACAGGTTCTTCCCTTGTTTCTCCTTCCGAAACAAGGGGCCCTATTTGCCACATCTTGCCACATGAGGGGCTTCCTTTAGATTCTTCCTCACTCTTTGTCTTATCATGAGGGGCCCTATTTGCCACATCTTTACCCACTTCCTGACCCATCACTGCAAAAGAAGAAGGCCCCTTTGGACTACTGCTGATGTCATCATTCCGTGACAGGCCATTTGAGGGCACTTCCTGATTATTGCCAGGTGGACAATAGAAAACATGACTATAATATAAGATTATGTCTTAGTATCCAGAGCTGGGAGGACATCAAATAAAAAAATCAAGGGTTGGCTTTTATTCTAAACTCATTTTAAATGAGAACCAGAAAATGTGCATGGGTTTTACTAAAAGAAACAAATCTTGAAGTAAGAAATCTAAACCCTAGGCCCTTGTCTGGTTGGGGGACTTTGAAGGGAATTGGTAGCATTCAACTAATTAATTTATACCTACATTGGATGGTGAAAAAAGTGAAGATGAAATTATACAGAACAATGGTTTCACTTCAAATAGTTATTTTCTAATCTAAAGCAAAAAAAATTAGAAGTAAAGTAGTGAAAAAAACAAAAAACACCCGTCCTCTAAAAAACCCCTAGGAAACAAGCCGTTAGATCACATCACATACTAATGTTGAAAATTTTGAGGAGATTTTGAGGAGTTTTTTTTACCTTAGACATTGTCTGAGCGGGAGAACCCAATGATCTATTTGATGTTGAAAATGAACCGCCTTCCTTGCATACAGGAATATATTGGGCCTTCGGAAGATTGTAAAGATGGGCCAGAACGCGGCAAACTTCATCGATCCCGGCCTTGTCTGCATCAAATGCTTTCCACCATGGAGGATTCTCGGGCAGTGGAACTTGAAATCTACGGGCTGCAGCATATACAACTCCACAGGCCACAACCTCACTCTTAAATCTAACACACAATGTAGTGCGCAAACTGAAAAACAAATTGGGAGGTGTCAGAAAGATAGAGGACAAAATGCGAGGACTAAAGAAGAGCAAAGAGAGAAAAAATGATGCATTATCACGACAAAGCTATAAGCCCCCTCTGTCCCAAAAACGAGTTCCCACATTTTCTATTTGGATGTCCAAAAATAAAGTTCTCATTTCCATAGCAAGAAAAACATAATAGGTTAATGTCACTCTTACCTTTACTTCTTCCTTACTTTTTGCTTGATTTGCCATACAGGGCATACTTGGAAAGTCAAACAGAAATTTGCCTCACATAAAAATGTACGTAGGTCAAACCGAGAACTTGTTAGTGTGTTATTACCTCCAGTCCAATATATAATGAGGAATCACAAAGGTTAAATATGCAAACAGGAAACCTAGAAGAATGAAGTCTTATTGACTGTGTGCACTGATTCCAAACGAGCAATGCACTGCAAAAACGAAATATGATGTGCCACAAGCATGTGCCTTGTGGGGCAGTTGAGGCCCCTAAGCCTTGATTTCGGATTTCTCTCTTGACATCTACACATTTTGGATCTTTTTTAACACTTAAGTTTTAATTACATGAGCCTCCATCGGCAGCCTTCAGGAAACACCATCTCAGCCTCCATCGTTCACTAAGAGCATATCAGCTCTCCACACATCACCAACCACCACAAGGTAAATCACCATCTCCTTACCTCCTCATTTCAGTGTTTGTTTCTTCCCAAAAGGACCTCTCTCTCTCTCTCTCACTCTCACCCCTCCTCTCTGCCTCTACTATTGACCACTGATCAAAGTTTACTTTTTCCCTGTTTCTGCAGCTAGTGTAATTGTAGTTGGTCTTTAAGTAAAAAAAAAAACATGTTCTTCATTCATATTATGAAAAGAAATGAATACTTTATGCTAATATCTCACGAACACAGTTTCTGTGCTCCTAAGAGTAGGGGTAAGGTTTCCGTACACCTCTACTCCTAGGAGTTGGGGTAGGTTTATGTAAAACTCAGCCTCCCCATACATCTCAACCTCTACTTCTGAGAGAAATATACTGGTTTAGCAAGGGTTTTCTTATGGCATGATCTGTTCTGCCAATGGCACTCTTCCGATTTTCAACACTTCACCAGTGGTTTTATTATGATAAAATACACTTCCTAGATGATACTATGGTTTGTAATTTTCTATCCATCAAGCATCATACTTCCATCTATGACATGCCTCCGATATGATACATTTGTATTGCTGAGTTGAACTTATGAACTAATCTTCATACTGACGTGTATGACTGTGTACAGAAACTACAGACTAACTCAGTCTTATAGTTCGGACTATCAATTATACCCAATGTGACCATGTTGGGGACACCACAATCACGAATGCTTGCACCCAGTGTTTGTAATTGCGCAATGCCTTTATGCCTTGAGACTAGCCTCAGAGATTTTTGGGGTAGATGCGCATTATGGCGGATCCTAAATTACACAATGTTGAGGCTTACACATTTTGGTTGAGGTGGGAGTGAAGCTTACAGCCTTACACAATTGAATTTCCAAGTTTTAACTCAATAAGTTGTGCCCACAACAAAAAACAATAATTTATAAGTTTTAAAGTCAAAATGATTCTCCTTCAATACCTCACAAGTCACACGCAGCAGCTAGTTCAGCGCTCCAGTTAATAGCCTGTCGAAGAATTTCATTGCCTTCCTAAGAATTTCATGATGCAAATAATTCTTAAGAAAAGAGATGCATGGTTGGAAACTAGTGGCATTCTTCATATTCTTTTAGGGTTTGACTTTTTCATAATGATTCTTTCACTAGGAAGGAAATTGTATCTCTTCAATGTGGTGATCCATTTTATCTTTGTTATTGATCGTGTTTTTCTTTTCAACTCATCACCCATAAATGTGGCAGTGTGCCGGTCTCACTAGTCATCATCATGCTACTCATCTCTCTTATAGTGTGACACAGACACCTTGCTCCCTCCCGAAGCACCGCCACTACGGTGCCATCAATATGTCAAAACTATGGTCAACAGATCACTATGTGCAGAAGGGTATGCTATGCGCCTATATCTCAAATTATATGTATTCACTCATCATAAATGCTAGTTCCTCAAAGGACTCCCAAGAAAACCTAAGATGTGAAAGGTCTCTTGGTTTTGGATCGATGGAAATCAGAAGCAACATGATGCACACTATTTTCCCAAATTCACTTTTTTCTTGCTTTTTTTTTGTGTTTTTCTTGTTTTTTTCTATTCTGAATTTCAGAAGCATGTTTACTTAAGTGCTTTTCAGTTTTTCTGTGTTCTTCCCATGTTTTGTTGAAGCCTTTAGTCTTTGGTTTTTACTTTTTTCAACTGTTATAGATAGGATGGTAAGAATATAGCTTGTGATAGCTTCATGCCCTTTTTGTTGTCTGAAATGCGAGCTCCTCTTATGGGAGTGGCCACTTCTTTGCCTAGTCGTTCTATTAAATTTTAGCCCTCTGACAATTGTGAATGTGATTCTTTTGACCCTCCTTCGTGAACTTTGCTAGAAGCCACAAAGTGTCACTTTATAAAATATTAAAATTGTCAAAACACTAAAGTGAAAGAAAAAACAGATGTTGAAAGCGAGTACAAAAAACGTGTCACAAAAAGTTGAAGGACTAAAAGTAGAATTACAGAGACAACAACATCCAAGCCGTATTACCAAAATGCCATTAACATAGTAGTAAACGGATACTAAAGTGGTAAACTAGTACTCTGTATACGTTTCCCCCCATAAAAATACTCCCTTTCAAAATAAAAAAATCATGTTTTCTTTTTTGGACCATCTCAATATAATCTTCATTTTTTCTTTAAAGAAAAGAATATGTGGTTCTTTATCATTTCATTCTTTTCGACTGAAGTCTCATACACACATTTTCCTTTTCAACCACTTCAATAATAAGTGTGCCAAACTCAAACAGGAAGTTTAACTCACGAAAAAGGGAGTAATGAAAAAAGCATATAGCAAAAAATGTAATTAAACCTAAAAACTTTACTACCAAGTTCTTGGAGTTCAAAATCAATATTAATGTCCCCATGTCATACACAAAACTAAGAACTGATCCTGTCAGCCTGTACAGCTGTACTATTCGTAATTCATAAACACAACTAAGATTTCAAGAGGCAGCATGTGTATTGAAATAAAACTGAAAGATTATTTATAGTAATACGGTCTAATTGATCTAATTGTTTGAATTATACCTGTCATTTGCAAGATTCCATGCTTCCTGTCTCAATTCATCAGGCATTTCAAGAGTTGCAATATAATTTGATATAAATTTATGAGGGTGTTCAACATGGCAGATGAAACCCATTTCTTTCAGAAGATGCCTTTCTGCACGAATCAAATCTGCCCTCAGATCAAGATATTTCTGTCCAAAGAATTAACCAAAGGTATTTAATCTATAAAACGAGGAACTTACTTTAATTTGAAAAGACATAAAACCAGAAGGTAAAACTAATAACACACATCTTCATTTCCTTTTGTAATTTTGGATTCCTTTCAGGTATCCATTCCTAAATAAGGTGAAGGAAAATAACACATACAACAGTCAAGAGGTTTTGACGTCCAGGATCGAGGAAAAAACAAAGCCCACTTCAAGGAAGAGCAAGAAAGATCGGAATAAAAAGTAAAACAATATCCACAATTCCACAAAGATCACTGTCTACCTTCAAATGGTCAAAAATTGCCCCAAGACTCAATGGACTGCAGATATCTAACCTTTGATGAAGTATCCAAATGCTCTATGGGTAAGTTCTCCCTCCGACATTCCAGCCTGTGGAAAACAATGAGTACCTGCCTCGCTTTTCTAGGGCATTCTTCAAGTTTTGAGGCAAGCCACACACAACTTGCAGCAACCCTCTACGCACAATATAATACCATACCGGTATCAGAATATAAGATTACAATTTTTTTAACAATAATTGTTTCTTTTCATTTTTGGGATGAGGAAAGAGGAGTTATACCTTGACATTAAAGCGAGCAAATGACTTCTTGCCGTAAAAACGGTGGAACAGCACTTGACCTGTGGCCATAACAGCTTGAGGTCTGCGGATAACCATATTAAGGAGATACAAAGAGGCCATTTCAGTACAATAGAATCAATAGATCATTGAGCATCAACAGCTTAAAAGATATAATTAAAAATAGAGGATACAGTTTCAACAAAATTCCGCTTTCTTGAATAAGATCACACCCATAGATTTGAAGGGTAGTCTCAGTGGCTTCATCTATTCCATCTCTACGAGAAGGTGAGTTCATAAGCTGCTCATCCGTTAGGTAAAATGTGTCAATTGCTGTGTAAATCATAGCTGTTCAGGAAGTCAAGGAGTCTACCAACTGCAAAATAAAATAAGTTTCAGATGGAATTGTTCAATAACAATAAAAATATCGCTGCTAAAGAAGTCGTATGAAGTACGGACAGGCAAAACCGGATGCGACGAGGAAAAAGCACAGTCCAGTGGAACCTTTTTGGGATGCACTGAAGACGGAGAAAGGGCGTTGCGTTGAGGCACGGAAAAATCGGCTAGGTGAAGAAGGGGAGAAGAGGGGAGCCAAATCTAGGACTGATTTCTTTTGGTTTTGGTATTAGCTAAGGCCAGGTAAACCTCACATCAAATACTATCTAATTATCATATATTTATACAGCCTCTCATTTAATATTTTGACATTTCACACGTTATTTCACACATAAAAACTAAAATACACCATTTTAATATGTATTTTCACGCATTTCACTAATTAAAATACAATAATCAATATTTCACAAATACAAGCTAAAACCACATAAAATTAAATATTACAATAATATTATTCTAGACTTGGGTAGTTATAAAAATACAAAGAAATCAGACCAGGCCACATCAGTTCAGACCAGACCAAATCAAACCAAACCAGCGTAGACCAACAAATTTCAGTCCAAGTAAGAACATACTCCTTCCGTCCCAAAAAATTGTTCCCGATTTCCTTTTTGGGCCGTCCCAAAAAATTGTTCCACTTTCCCCTTTTGGAAAGTTTTGTGTGACTCACATTCATTTACCTTTTTCTTACACTACCACAACCATACACTTCCACTTTATTCCCACTTTCTTAAACTCTGATCCAAGTCAATGCGGAAACATTTTTTTTGGGACGAAAGGAGTACTAATTTGTTGTTTTAAAAATGGGTCAAAACTATAACAATCAAAACTTTGGGTAACATTTGAAATAATAAAAAAAAATGGATGGCGTGAAATATGGTGTACGCCATATTTGGTGTAAAGCAAAAGTCTCTCCCCCAAAATGGTGTAATGGTGTAGGGGATGGTTTGACTATTGGAGCAATTTTTTGCTAAATCCACTATTTTGGTGTAGGATTTGGTGCTTGTTGGAGTTGCTCTAACAGTGTGTTTGGGTTAATCGTGCAGTGAAAAGTTGGTGAGCGTGTTGTTGTACAATGAAATCTTTATATAGTTTTCACTATAACATGATTCACAATGATGTGTGGTTAGTGTCTCGAATTAATTGATACTCCCCCGTCTTATTATAATTGTCTTATTTTTCCTTTTCCATCTATCTCACTAATTCAATCTTACTTTATTCCCACTTTATCAGTTCACTATCAACTACATAACTCTACTTTTCAAAAAAGTCACATCATTCTTCTTTGTCTCAATCTTAGGGGGACAAAGGTAGTATTGTTTTTGCATTCAATTCTCTCTATTATTGCATTGTTTTCTTAGTAAAACAAATAGTGTGATTAGAATTTGTGCAGTGATATATGTTGAACTTGGATGTTTTTACTTGAACTATTTTAAGTCTCAGACCATACTAGGCTTAAACGGACCAGACCATACTAGACCAGACAGGACATAAACAAGATCAGACCAAACTTGACTTCCATATTTATAAAATACACAGAAACCAGACGTTTACAAGACCAGACCAAATTAGACTTAAACAGACCAGACCACACTTAAACAGACCATATCAGACCAGCAAATTACATTCCAAATAAAAACATCTGCATTGTATTAAAAGGTAGGTATATATTTGATATTGATGGCATGCAATAGAATAAGGGAGATAGTATTGAAAGTGGAGTTTGTATCAAAATGTAACCCGGTGCGTTGATCACGATTTCACACGTTTTTTGTAAAATTCAATTTTACATGTGGTTTGAATCGATTTTATAATTATGATGAATTGTAAAATTGTACGATTTTCGAGTTGAATTCTTATTTTAACAACCTTGATCACAAGTACTAGTTCTACTCTCTAAATATTTATATATACTATGCATTTCTTGGTATGTTTTTTTGGACAAAAAAGAATACTTTGTTATTAAAAAGCAAACAAAATACAACGCTCATGAGAGATTATCTCTAGTGAGTGAGAAAAGATAAAGAAAAAAGTCCTGATGAAATCTAGTCCAATCCCGCCGCCGCCTAAAAATTGCCCCCTTGTGCCAAAGACAAAAATCCATCAAGATGCGAAATTACGTCTGGGCGAGTTTTTTGACCTTTAATCTATCACACTCCCTGTGAACCAAACTATAGTTGGGTTAACTCTACTTGGGGTCTGCAATAGAGTCCACACGATCTTTTAAGTCATCTGTGAAAGCATTAAAACTTGAGATTTAGCCTTAAATGACGAGGTACCGTGAAAGTTAAAGGAAACGTGAAGAGGTTTGAAATCCATAATAACCTCCACCGACTAGTCCGGGCCGGAACCGGAGCAGACCCATGCCTACTCATCATCATTATCATTACCCCAGTGCCACAAAGGCTCCCACCTACGGTGGGTTAGGGGGTCAGATGTATCCCTGTACTAAAGCACATAGAGACTGTTTTCGGATGACCCAAGGTAAAAAAAAGCGCGTCGAAAGTTGCATGGACTGACTACTGCTTCATAACAAAGAAGCGCAAACAGTTTAGTCAGTCATTTTGTTTTATTCCATCATTTTCCCAAACCAAAAAATGATGAATCTTAGGCTCCATTGCAAATGACGGTAATTCCAGGCCCATGCCTAGTATTAAGCATAATTTTTACATAAATTACCAACCAAAAGGTCCAAAACACATATCCTTCATTCTTCATATCTATCATGGAGATTAACATGGATTGTGCATCATCTTTGAGCTTTGTTTAGTAATCTAATACACTCATATATGTCTAGTATGCTCTTGTAATTTTATAATTAGTATATTTGTGCTTTTCCTTCACTTGTGATCTCTTGATTTCACATCTTTCCAAATCTATTGATACAAATAGTGAATGGGGGAAGACATCCAACTAAATCATCTTTGTAAATGGCTAAGGAGACAAATCATTGAAATCCTCGTAAGTGGTTCAAGAGTTTTGTTAGTTGATCAAATCCTCATATGGTGGAGGAGATCCATTTGTGAACCCCCATTCCGTTGGCAAGGTTGTTTGCCGAAGTTTCTTGTGGTGCATTTGCTCAATATCTAGGAGACTCGATGAATAATGAAGTCAAATATTAAGTTGAAGAATAGCGGTCCTTGCCATTAACAATTAAGACATGTTTGTCAATTTTTTCAAATTGATTATGGAATAGATTTATATTACTAAATAAAGTTTTTCATTGACATTATAATCTAAGAATAATACTAAATTGATTATTTACTCGATTCAGACTGTTTATTCCGCATACAAAATAAACAGCCCCATATACAAATATCATTTAATCTAAACAAACATTTTAATCTAAATAGACATCTTAATCCAAACAAAACTTAATAGAAAAAGTAAACCGCCCAAGGCAAATAGAAACAGTGTTTAATCGTTCACAGTACTGTACATTTGATAGGCCTGGATAACTTTAGTTTCGTTAAAAACATTGCCAGACTGCCAGTGTTACTCTAATACTCCGTATAATCTAGAAACTGTGGTGGGGAGTGGGGACTGGGGAGTAGATAAACGTGGTTTTGAACAGATTGCCTTCGCTATCAGTATAATGTTAGTACACACTTATATGGAAAGCTTATCCCATCAAAATCCTTCTAACTGCAAATTTAGCAATGGTCATACACCATGATAAAAATCATTAGAAAAAGAAAGAGATCGAAAGTAAATTACACAAAGCATTCCAAATAAAAAGTAAAAGACAAATGCAGCAGAAACAAACTACTTTGAGAACAACTGCCTGCGCCTGGAATTGGATGGTTTAATGGTTCCCAAGAAGCAATCACCCTCACCTCTCACTAATTCGCTAACTAAATCCTTGAAAACCAAACGCTCCACGTCAAGCACGATAGCCGATACCTCTTGGTCAAACTCAGTCAAGCCCTCTGACTTGTTCACCACGTCTTCAGCATCACATTTGGATGGCCGATTTTGAAACCAGTGTTCTATTTCCATGCACACCTCCCTAAGTAGTTTCTGCGCATCCAAACCTTTTGTTGGCAACTTTTTGTGTTTCTTCAACCAGGGCTCCGAAAATGCCCCGAGAAAAGCCAGTTTTGAAGCAAGGATTTCATTGACAAGGTCAAAGACAAGCTTGCGGTGGTTTTTCCCTACACACTTCATAGATTCAATGATATTTTCGTTCTTGGTTTGCTCGAGAACCAAAAACAATTCCGGGTTTATCGGGAGGCCGGAGTGATGGAACTGGAACACTGTTATACTTGAGCCCATGTCTCTGAGGAGAAGGCCCGAAGCTAATAAAATTTCAGAAACGTATCTGTGATCCTGAGTTGGAGAGGTGTTCTCACAGAGAGATGCAATGTAATCTGTGCTGCCTTCATCATGACTAGAATTCAACCTTGTGAGCTTCTGAACAAGGTTTTCTATGTTTTGTAGTTTCTTTCTGTTGAACTCCTGTGCGATATCAAAACACGTGCCGTCGTAGAAAGCATCATCTGATGATGAATTACACAATGCTACACCATAGACTCTTTCTTGATTCTTGTATCTATTATTATCATCTGTTACACAAATGACTCTCTGTTAGACAAAATGGACATATTATGCTACACCAAAAGATAATACATTCATAATTTTTATGCTCCCTCCATCGCACAATAATTTTCCAGTTTTCCTTACTCAGCCATCACAAAGAATTGTCACTTTCCATCTAAAGAAATAAACTTTTAGTTTATATTATTTCTCTATCCTCTAGACAAACATCAACCATTCAATCTTCATTTCCTTATTTCTCGTACTAGTTAAGTATGGCAAAATTTTGCAGAACAAAGGACGTAATAAAGTTTTTTACATGGTGAACTTGCTCCAACGCCAAGTGTCAGTTACAATTCACCATGCATGCATACGTTTTAATACTATTTATTTTCTTTTATGGACAAGGACCGCATTTTATTTACTAAAAAAATATATGTGCCTACACACCACCATCAACTTTTAAACTCAAAACCAGAACAGTGCAAGCATTCTAATGAACATTTTTTTACTCAGACAAAGACTATTCAATGGAAACGACCAAATATTTGCTCAGCAAATAGTAATGAGGGCTACAAATGAAAATGTATAGAGAAGGCTGGAAGGACACATTCATACATTACTTTCTATATGCACGTGCCTATAGCCATGGAGATAATGAATGGTATGTCAACACATACTATGAATACATATAACCCACACATTACCTCAATGATAGACCATTCAAGTTTTTACTATACTTCACAACCATTTAAGTGAAAATGCAACATACATTAGAATGAGAATTTGTAACGTCAACACTGAACATGTGTATATTTCATATTTGGAATGCAATATACTACACCCCGTCTAGTGGAATAACACATTGGTTTTGGTTTCACTCACAGTGAAGGGAAGGATTTGAACCAGAGTTTAGAAATACCTAGGATTTGAGGAGCACGCTTCCCAGATAGGGGAGATTCATCTGCATACACAAGCTTGTCAAGGACAGAAACTGGACTCGGGTATTCTGGGACGACCATTGTAGTCAATGATCCATCTTCAGCGAGCACAGATGAACTCTGAATGGATAATGAAAGTCAAATAAATTGATTCAATAAATTTATCAAATTTTTGAAGCAATGCAAACTATATAATAGAGTACCCTATCCATGCGTTGAGATATTAAGGACTCAGCAGATTCTGTAGGTGGACTGTGTATGCTTCTTTCCTTAAAAGACACTAAAGAACTACTGACTTCCGCATCTTCTTTTGAGTCTGATATAACACTCCCATTCGACCTATTTGAGATTTCATTCTCACTCAATAGGTCATCGTTTGTCAGGATATTGGAAATCTTTGATCTCCGTCTTCCACCGGGAGAATTTGACTCCACTGGATGCTTGACTAGTTGTTTTCTCAATCTGTTAGAATCAGGAGGTGAGGGTGGCCTAGACCGTTTCTCCAACTCAATTCTCCTCTGTTGCAGTCTAGGGCTGATGTGTCCTGTGTTCTTTGCTGACACAGAGGTGATGCTTTCTTTGGACCTTGCTGGAGATTTTGAAGTTCTACTGTTAGTTTTTGAATCGAATGTATTGATCACATTCACTCTTTGGAATGTATTCTGATGTTTGGCTGTAGATTCTGTACCAACATCTCCCTTTCTACGACGGAAGCCTTTGGAGGAAGGGGACAAGCCACCATCAAGTGGAACCCTTGATTGTTCTAGAAGTTTAGCTGGCTTCATGATGACAATTGGGGACTCATACTGCCTTAATGAATTCGAACCCCTTATTCTTTGCTCCTTTTGACATGTCGGCAACTTTGAGTCCTGGACTTTTTGGTTCTCGAGGAGTCCCTTTGCCTGCATTGTTTCCAGTATCTGCTTAAGAGCTCTTAGATCCTTCCCTGATTCAGTAAACTTAAGATCCTTAAATCTATTCTCTATCTCACTGTAAACTGAAGGAAATGAGCTTGTATTGTCAACGTGCCTCCATGGTGCCGGTTGAACAGGAAATCTAGATATAGGCTTCACAGTTGAATCAGGTTTTCTCCAACAAGGAACTGGATCACCTACTTGTGATATCGGCTTTGAGAGAGGGAGTGAATCATCGAACTGAAAATCATTTGTAGAAGAATCCGGAAGCATTTCCAATCCCATTAGCTTTGCTACAACACTGGGAGGACGAGCAAGAGTCTGCCGGGAAGATTTTGACCCAAAGTTGGATTTTGAGTCGGAGTGAAAGCTTTGAATCGGACTCTCTCGACCGTCTAGCGAAAGCCTTGGCATCTGCTTCAATGCAGATTTAGATACGTCACGTGATTCAAATGATAGTTGATGTGTTTCCTTCCCATCATAGGAGAACCGAGGAACGTCAGTTGAAACGGAGGGTGATCTTGAGAGTTGTTTAGGTTCACCATGGTACCAAGGAGCTTCTCGAAGTTTGGCAAGAACTCTAAGAGATTCTTTAAGATCAAGAGGGGTTGGAGAATCATTGTTGAGCTTCACAATAGATTCAGCTACCTTCTCTCTGAGTGTGGGTTTTACCTGTGCTTCTCTGTTCATGGATTCCTTGACCACATCTCGAATATCAAGGGTTTGTCTGCCATACAGTTGAGATGTTTTGAGCTTGTTCTTTGTCGGGTCTCTTGAAGGAGTTTCTGGAAACATGACGCGATCGAAGGCCACAGGCTCTTGCTGAGCTCTATTGCAATCAAGAGAAGAAAATGAAGAGGAGCGAGATGAGGATGAGAATGAAGGTCTTGATGATTCTGTGGAGAACCTTTGTTTTTCGGGTATGTTTTTATGTGTTTGATTATTTTCCTGCAATGAAAATCACTCATCATTCACTCAAAAAGTTCTTCAATGAAGCTGAAAGAAGCAGAATATGAATGATCCTTACCACTGTTGTTGGTTTCTGGTGGTAGATACTGCTCGTCCCATATCCAGATGTTTCATCATTGAAGTGAGAACTACCTGTAAAGATAACATTATAAGATGCCGTGTGTTAGTGCACCAACGACAAATGTTTGTCGATTTATGCTATGAAAAACCATGAGTAGCGTTGCACAAAGATTTAAATGATCACAATCCCCACCTTACAGAATTGACTTGTAGAATATGAGATTTCAAATGACAGTTAATGTGAAAAGATTTAAATCTTTAGAACGTAAAACTTCAAGTCCTTGGGTTCAAGAGACTCAGATTTCGTCAGGTATCTAAACACAGATGATAGCATTTAAAATTGAATCCATTCATTTCATATTGTGTTGGCCTTTTGTTGAAATCAAGAATATAACTTTCAGATCATAGATATAAGTGGTCTTCCTCTTCCAAATTAATGAGTACAAAAGTATTACTATGATATGAAGAAGGTGTATATGGGCTAAAAGGAGACATCTATAATGTCCAGCTGCAAAGGCGCCATACTTGTGAAAAGTGTACTTCATGAGGTCAATCAATCTAACATAAAAAACACTGCCAGCCCACACACACACAATAAAAAGGTAAAAAACAATACTCTTTTTAAGGGAGGAGTGTAATGCTTGGGGTTAAAGAAATCAGAATTAAGTCTTGGCAGAATAAATAAGATTAAAGATAGACTAGCGAGCAGCATATATCCAAGAAGCAATCCATAAGGAAGGACTTTTGCACTGATCAAACCAACAATAAGGTATATTGACCCTTTGGATCGAGACACATGTCCTATAATTATAGAAGGAATACATGCCAATGGTTCTACAGCTAAGCAAACTAGAAAAGCCCACCCGCAATAGCAGATTTTGTTTTCCAGGAAACATTACCAGAAACCAATCTTTTGGGGCTGTTGCCAACCAAGCGCCTTCCTCCTGCCATCATATGTGGACGATCAAATATTTGAAAGATCCCAGTCATACAGCCAATCTGCTTTCTCAAATCCGGGCTGTCGTCTGTCAAAGAATGCAAAAGCTTTGCAGCCATATTTGCTCCCTTTTCTTCAGAAACACAAATCTTTAGATTTGAAGTCCCACCACTAAACAAGAACTATAATACTCAAAACCACATAAACGTTACTGTTTCTCCCCAGGCTCCAGGTAGTCTAATGCTTGCACAAACCTCAGTATCTTAGTTCTATTTTCGCCCTCTTTCCCTTCAAATATCAGGAAAATCGAAATGGCCCCTTCTATCGAAGCCCAAAAGATTTACAATAAGAAACCTCCTCATCTATATAAAAATTTAACCAGCAGCACATAATCACTCAATCTTGAGCAGACCTTTGTTGAAGAACCCTTCACAGCTCGGCTTTAGAAAAGATTCAAGATTTGCACCAAAACCTAAAAATTTGCTCAAGTTTCCAATAAGCACCCCCACCCCACCCACCCACCCCCCATCCCAACGCTAAACTGTGAGCTCTCTCCCATCTAATAAAAGTTCCTTCCAAAAATTTGCCCAATTTTTCATCTGCACTCAACCATTTATGAACAGGCGCAGATACTGAAGATGCCCAGGTAACAAAATCTTGTCTTTTTCCGATATACAGAGGACATATACACCGAACCTTCACAAAACTCAATGCTAGCAAGAATCAGTTAAAACCCATTACAACCTGCTCTGAAGGAAGTAAAAAACCAATACAGATCTACCCAAGAAGAAAATGCAACAAGGAAAATCCAAAACACAAGATATTGCCACAAAAGTACAAGAAAATGAGGGAAGGTACAAGTTGAAGAGCAACTAGAGGATGTAAGTGTGAGGAGTTAGGGAAGATGATAAAACTACTACTAGTGTAACTGCAATATTATGATGAGAGGGGAATGAAGAAGAGAGAGGGAGAAGAGAGAGCGGTTGAAGGGGCAGATGTCTTGCAGGCCTTTCGTCACACTTCCATGTGGGGTGGGTCTAAATCTGTCTGCATGGTCATGTGCTCTTGTCAGGACTCACTTGCTGAGGACTTTGGGGCTTCATAGTCCAACCTAACCTTTCAATTGTTGCTTTGCTGGATAATGCAAAACGATTCCATTTCAAAAAAATTGGTGGGAGATGAAAACGACACACATATGGGACGACACTTCGAAAGTGTTGCTTTCCTCTATTAAATTAGTGAGTGATTAGTGATTATTTATATATAAATTGTAGTCTAAAATTATACCGAGTATAATACGGAGTAATTTTATTGAGCACGTAACTTGGACACTCAATGACTCAATGAGCATTGGAATCCATTTATATCATCTCGAATGTTACCATGTGCACGATATCCATGTGACATGATAGATAACCATATAAATATTAGTAAATAAATCATTATCTTCTTATTTGAATGATTTTATATAATTTTGGTAAATTTTTCTCTGCAATGTCAACCACAATGTCAATATCTAGACGCTCTTCTTGACACTGTGTAGAAAAATTTACCAAAATTGTATAAAGTCATTCAAATAAAGAGAAAGATAATTTATTTGCTTATTTTTATGTGGCTATCTCTTATGCCACATATACACAGTAGACATCATAGCATTGGAGATGCTCTAACTATTCCCTTCGTCCCCTTATAATTGTCCAATTTTTCCATTTTTAGATGTCCTCCGATTATTGTCGCATACCGTATTTGGTAACATTTGTGTGTCTCTAATTCATTCTTACTTTATTTTCACTTTATCAACTCATTATCAACCACATAATTCTATTTTTCTTAAAAACCGCATCACTCCCTTCCGTCCCAATAATAGGGGGACGGAGGGAGTACTATTTTGCATTTTAGGCAGGTCCAAAATAAACTTCACACTTTTATTTTTGGTAAATTTTAAAATAAAGTTATGCGTATACTCTTACTTTATTACCTATTTTGGCTAAAGGGTCAAATAGGCCTTTGTACCGGTCTTGTAAGCTCAATTCTTACTCTGAACTAAAAAAGGTTCAATTCACACCCCGGGCCGGCAAAAAAGGGTTCAAACTTCATTTTTTAAGGTTAAACAACCGATAAAAAAAGGTCCAATTCGCACCCCTAAACTATTTAAAAGTGTCAAACTTGCAATAAATCAAAATTAAAAAAATCATAAACAATTTAAAAATTTTAAAAATGACCGGTTGTTTACCCGTAAAAAATGAAAATTGAACCCTTTTTTGTCGGTTCGGGGTGTGAATTGAATCTCTTTTCAATTGAGGACCTGAGGTTACAGAACCGGTATAGGGGCCTATTTGACCCTTTAGGCACCTATTTTACATGCATTCTCTCTCTCTCACTCTCACTACATCTAGTCAACTTTTTTAGGGTTATCATGGAAAAATCAAAAACAAAAATTCCACTTTCTTAAAAAGTGGAATTTAACACCGGATGGAATATATTCCATTAAAGTGTAAAGTTTATTTGGGACCGGAGGGAATATATGTTTTTTTTTTTTTTTTTGATGAAATGTAAAAAATATATAACGAACTAAAAAATTACACCATCATAGGGGCATTCCCCAGAAAACACATGAGCATCACACAACCTTGCTCTATTGCACCAATGATATCTAAGCAACAACCAGACAACAGAGAATCAAAAACTAATCAAAATATGAGGGTAAAGTCTAAAGAGTAGCTTATACACGGTGATCTTGATTTGTTCAATGAGGCTGTTCACTGTATTACGGCTGTTAGCAAAAATTTCAGCATTCCTCGCTTTCCAAACCAAGTAAACTGTAGCATTTAGGGCCAGTCTAACAGCCTTACTAACTATCTGAGCACCTCCATATTCCTTCTTACACATTTTTACTGCACTTAGAAGAGTAGTGGGGTTCCTTGTGAGTTTTAACCACTCCAATATCCCTTTCCAAATCTGTCCAGTAACAGGACATAGAAAGAACAAGTGTTCCACAGATTCCAAGTGGTTTTTGCAAAAACAACATTCCCTATTAATGTCCATGTACATGAGATTGTCACAAGTGGGCAATCTATTTCTCATACCAAGCCATAAAATAAATGAAAATTTAGGAGGGATATATCTTTTCCAAATAAGGGGCATCCACGGCTTACTACTCCCTTTGGTTCTAAGCAAATCATAAACCTTATTAGCTGACATTCTACCGTTAAGGCAAAATGAACTCAGTTGATGTACCATCTGTGTCTTTCCTCCAGATTTAAGAATCAACTCATCTTTTATCTTCACCAATTTAGCTAATAGAGGAGACACCCCAGCTGGTGGTGCCCAATCCCACACACAATTGCCCTTAATATAGACTGTATGCACCCATTTTACCCACAACGTATCCTTCTTGGAGTGAATATCCCAAAGGGTTTTAGCTAAAAGTGCAGAGTTCCAGATTCTGGTGTCTTTCAAATCTAGTCCTCCCTCATTTCGTGGTTTACAAACATCAGCCCAGGCGACTCTTCCTTTAGGCCCATCCCATAAAAACTTCCTGCAAAGAGAGGAAATCCTATCCAAGATAGCAGCCGGCATCGGAAAGGTCTGGAGCCAATATGACTGGACTCCTTGAATAACTGCTCTAATGAGTTCCAGTCTACCCGCATAGCTCATGCACTTGGTCTTCCATTTAGATATAAATTTCTCGATTTTTTCAATCATTGGAGAATATTGGGCCACAGACACCCTCAATGGAGCCAAAGGAATGCCAAGATATCGAACAGGAAACTGCCCTTCCGGAAATCCCACCATGCTCAGAATTTCCTCCTTACTTTGTCTGTCTATCCCAGCTAAATAGATGCTTGACTTACTGACATTCATTGCTAATCCTGAGACTGCTTTGAACTTATCCAAACATTTCAAGAGAATGAGGATGGAATGAAGGTCACCCCTTGAGTATAGCATAAGATCGTCAGCAAATATGAGGTGAGAGATTCTAAGTTTCCCACACTTAGGATGAAAGTTGAAGTCAGGTGATGATGTTTCAGTGATCATTAATCTAGAAAGATATTCCATGCATAATAGAAAAAGGATAGGAGACATAGGATCTCCTTGCCTCAACCCACGTTTTCCTTTGAAAAAACCATGGAGGCCTCCATTGATAGCAACAGAGAAAGAGGGAGTTGAGATGCACTCCCAAATCCAACCCACAAACCTAGCAGGGAACCCAAGCTCCACCATAATCTCTCTCATAAAATCCCATGAAACAGTGTCATAAGCCTTCCTTAAATCAATTTTTATAAGGCATCTGGGCGATACTCTTTTTCTAGCATAACCTCTCACAAGTTCTTGGGCTAGAAATATGTTATCCACAATCCCTCTTCCCTCTACAAATGCATTTTGGGCTGGATTAATGATCTTGTTCATTAGTGAACACATTCTCTCAGCAAGAATCTTTGTGATAGTCTTGTAGAGGACATTGGTGCAAGAGATAGGTCTAAAGTCATTAACTGATGGGTTGTGAACAGATTTTGGAATCAAAGCAATGGAGGTGTGGTTGACCTGCTTTAATAGTTTCCCTTTTGAGAAGAATTCGTGCACAGCCTTTGTAAAGTCCTCACCAACCACCTTCCAGTTTTGTTTGAAAAATCCAGCAGAGTAACCGTCCGGTCCCGGGGCCTTATCATCCCCAATATCAAAAAGGGCATCCTTAATCTCTTTGTTTAGAATAGGCGCTGTCAATCTCCCAGCCATATCAGGATCAACCATTCTTCCCTTTTGCACAATAGATCTATCTAAGGAGCAACATGTAATAGAAGTTCCCAGCATGCCTACAAAGAAGTTGTAGAGTTCCTGTATTACCTCACCGGAGGAGGTAGTAGTTTGTCCATCCTCTTTTATAATGGCTGATATACAATTCCTTGCTGCATTTCTTTTGGCAATTGAGTGGAAGTACTTCGTGCATCTGTCAGCATCAGCCAAATGTGTAGTTTTAGCGCGTTGTTGGTAATATTTAAGTTCAGCTTCAGCATAAAAGGTGGCCCTTTCCCTTGCTCTTCCAACTGTTTCAATAAGTTCATTATTCTCTGAATCAAGAAGTAGGTTTTTCTGTGCTTCCTTGAACTGAGTTTTTGCCTCAGAAGATCTCCTAGAAATATGAGAAAAATGATTCTTATTGAGCTCTCTTAGAGGGCCCTTAAGCCTTTTGAGTTTACAGCACAAAACAAACTGGCTATACCCCTCAAACGGAGTGTCCCACACTGATTTTAGCACATCTAAAAATTGCGGGTCCTTCATCCACATATTAAAAAATTTAAATGGCTTCTTCCCCTCCCTTTCACTCTGTAACAATGAAATTAGAACAGGGCAATGGTCTGAAATATCATCAAAGTCCATAAAATCTGCCACACAGTGAAGTCCTTTTATTTTCCATTCCTGATTGATCAATACCCTGTCTAATTTAGCCCATTTGTGCCTTCTATTCCAAGTGAATTCCATACCAATAGATGGTGCATCCTCCAAATTCAGAGCATTTTTACACTCTAGTAGGTCTTTCATCATGTAACTAGCAGGTTCCCTACTACCCATCCTCTCATGTGGATAGCATACACAGTTAAAGTCCCCTATTGTCACCCAAGGAATGGTGATACTCTGGCCAATAGCATTAATGTGATCCCATAATTCTCTTCTTTCACTTACTGTGTACAAAGCATAGACACAAGTAGCAAAGAAAGAAATTTGTGAAGTCAGACACTTTATTCTACAATGAATGTGTTGTTCTCCAACCTCCAAGGTCTCACAATTTATTCTTCCTGGATCCCAAAGAATACTGATTCTTCCTCCTCCTCTCAAATTAAAGTTATTCCCGCTCTTCCAGCCTCTTAACTTTGTGTTAACAAACCTATCCAACTTATCTTCAGTAGCCAATCTAGTTTCCAAAAGACAACAAAAAGTAATATTATTTTTTCTGATATAATCAATAATAGTACTATGTTTTGAGACCCTATTCAGGCCTCTAATATTCCAAGATAGCAACTTCATTTAAAACGAGACAAAGAAGTGTGTCCTCCTCCATGTTCCCCTCTCCCATTTCTAACTGCATTCGGTTTAGGCCCCTTCTGTCCAGCCTGTTC